ACCCATCCGCCTAAGAGTAGAGCATGTAGAACTTCCACTTCACCAGCCAACAAGCCAAGTAAGGCTAAAGTGCCCACACCCTCCAAGGCCAAAACTGCCAAGGACAAAGATACAAGTCGTGACAATGAAAGTGATGAGAGTTCTTGGGGCAATCCAAATCCCAAGGTGATCGAGCAGATCAAGAGATTGAGACCCATTCGTGGCGGCAGGTGTTTGGGTGAGAAGTATTATGATTCAAGTGCCTCATTCCAAGTAAGCATGCCACTTGGCCTTTCGTCTATCTGCCCCTTTGGTCATTGTTGACCTCACTTAAAATCCTTTGACATGTGACTTAATGTTTTTATGAGCAGTTGGCAGCTTCCAATGAAGGCATTGGTTCAATCCCTATTCCTAGTGACAATAAAGTTCCGTCCAAAACTGAAGAGGCCAAGTGGGTGGAAGCCTTGGCAGTAAATATGGAGGAAGCCTTAATGAATCTTGAAGTTCGCCGAAAAATTTTGGCTAGCAAAATAGCTAAGCCTCCACTTCCCGACGACATACTTAATGTTGATTGGAGTTATCTTACATCCTTCAAAGCAGAGTCAGCGAAGAAGGCTAAAGCCAACGACGTTCGCCACAAAAGCCTACTACGGTAAGCCATTTGGACTCGTCCTTTATTTTAGGAAAGGCCAAAATGTACTTATTAAGCCCCTTTTCTATTCTGTTGTAGACTAAGGGGGGTGTGAAGGTCTCGTATGGCACCCCCAACATGACAGAGAAGCCCGAAACAATGAAGACTCAGCCAGAGGTGATGGTGTTGAAGGTATAAGCCCTTATATCTTCATAAAAATTGAGAATCACTCTTGATAATTGCTAAGTTGAATGTCATTAACTTTTCTCTCATTGTGCACAGCCACGTCCCATTAGCAAACTGCCTCTTTCAGGGCTGGTGACTTTGAATTAGTTCCTAGGAGGTTTATACCAGTGAGGAACTGGTGCCGCCAATGACGAGAAAGGTATTTGAAGCCGTTCAATGAAACAGTTTTGATTTCATCACTTTGCTTAGTTGGACAACATATTTCTCTGTTAATCAGTCATGCTTTCATTCACTTTGCCAGGTGCTGAGAAGGGCAAGGCAAAGGCTACAATAGGTGTCAGCAAAGAAAAGGGAAATAAGGTCACTGAGGTAACCAGCTCTGATTCTAGCGAGAGTAGCAACCATAAATCCAACAACAACGATGCTTCGTTTGAGAATGGGAATGGTTCCAAACAGAGAGGCAAAGTTGCAGGCTTTCAAGGCAGCATCGATATGAATAAGGCCACCACGAAGAATTCGAATCGGACGTGGGTGATGCTATGAAGAAATTTGTCTCCAGTAAAGGTAAAATGGACACTGGCATGCCGACCATGAGTTCAGTGAAGAAAATGGCTGGCCCTGGGGAAACCAAGCATGGTGGTCAACAGTCTGCGACCCCAGCTAAGTCAAGTAAGATCGACGATTTGGCCATGAGACTACTTAAGAGTCTTGACGAGATGAATGAAGACAGGGATGTCTCACTGGCTTGGTTTGGCTTGGTGCCCCTAGGTGGCTTACAAGTAGTGGGCAGGTTTACAATGCCTGCAATGTTGGAACCGTGGGCATGCCACATGTTAGACATTTTTACAAATCTCACAATGCGCAGCAAGGCCAAAAAGGTGGTGGTCGACGACGCCTTCTCAATTCTTTGTGCGACCATGCAACATATGGAGGTAACTCCCTTTGCTAAAAATGGATGGAAGATTTCTTCTATCAGTGTAGAGATGCCCTTGACGATGCTGAGAGTATTGACTTCGAAGTCAACGCCCTTGGCACTCATTTATCAAATTTGGCAAAGGGATATCTTGGAAAGACCGAGTTTGGCACGGCCAAAGGTGACATGGCCGAGGGCTTGGATGGCTGAATCAGGGTGCAAGCAAAGAATATTGCAGAGATGTAAAAGTCTTTGGTCGAGCCAAGAGAACTTGTTGTCAAATTGGAAGAAGGGTTGGTATCAACCAAGGCTTACTTGGGATCGCTCAATCAAGAAAAGGAACGTCTGGATTCCAACGATGTGACTGAGCTTCACCAGGCCTGTATGGAGGTTGCCAAAGCCTTTGGAGATGAGCCCAGCCCCTTTCTACCATGAATCAGCCTTGCATCCCCAGCTTTCTCTTCATTTTTTTTATCCCTTTTCTTTTATGGTACGTTGATTGTTGGCAATGTTGCCATGCTTTAACTCTTTAGCCACGTTTGCTATGGGTTGAACATCTCTGCTTCCAACAAAGTCTGGACCTTGTTGCTTGTTTATTTTCTTGCTTGTTTTTCTCTGCTGCTCTAATTATATTAACTGGACAGACAAATTGTATTGAAGAAATGGATTAGGGAGGTTATTTTAGATCATGTTATATGATGCACTTCTCCTCTTTTTCTTTTTTTTTTTAACACTCCATGTCCTTTTACAGTAATAGAGAAAAATAAAAGTAGTCTAAATAGGCCGATACATAAAGTGCTTATCACAATAAGAGAATGCTATTTGCACCTTACATTTGATTATACACCACGAATGAGATTAACTCTTTTTGCTAGAATGAACGATAACGCTAGAGATAAAATTACAAAAAATAGATGAGGTTGGTGAAGCCTAACAATAATATGGTTTGAGCCATTTAGTGTTCACAGGATCCGATAGCGGTTCCCCCTTTTGAGTTTTGAGGTGATAATATCCGTTAGCACGTGCTTCCGTGATGACGAAAGGACAGTCCTAATTGGCAACGAACTTGGATGGTCCAGCGATGATTTTCCTTACATGGCCTGAGGCCTTAAGGACCATCTATCCAACTGTGAAAACTCTAGCCTTGACTGCACGATTGTAGGCATCTGTCATCTTGGCTCGATATTTTTGAGCCTTTTCTTGTGCTATCTGACGAAGCGCTTCAACAGACTCTAAGTTTTCAATTTGCCTCTGACCACAAATGTTAGCATCGTTACCCAGCTTGAATGCAGCCAAGATGCATGCAGTTGGCACTAAGACGTCAGGAAGGACTGCATCGCAACCATATACCAAAAAATAAGGTGAAAAACTTGTAACAGTCTTGGATGATGTTCGATGCGCCCAAAGAGTATCTTACAAATGAATGCTCCACCCTCATTCGTACTCATAAACCATTTTGCTCAGAATTCCCAACAAACTTTTGTTAGTTGCCTCTGCTTGACCATTGCCTTCGGGGTAATAGGGGGTGGACTTTTGATGCTTGATCTTATAAGTGTTCAGCAATCTTCACACATGTTGATTAATAAAAGGAGTTCCATTGTCACTCACAATTTTGTACAAGATCCCAAAACAACAAATTATGTGCTCTTTGATAAAGTTTGACACCATTGGGCTTGCAGCCTTGCGAAGAGGGACAGCCTCCACCCATTTGGTGAAATATTCGATGGCCACCAATATCCAAATGTAACCCTCAGATGAAGGGTGAATGGGATCGATGGGATCCAAGCCTCAAGTATGAAAAGGCTAAGGAGTCCTCATATCTTGCAACGAATGAGAATGGGAATGGATAAGACTAGCATGCACTTGGCAAGTGTGACATCATCGAACAAAATCTGCAGCATATTGCTTCATGCTTGGCCAGTAATAACTGTGGTCTAAAAGTTGCCCGTACAACTTTCTCAATCCTTAATGTTCGCCGCATTCCCCTCCATGTATCTCACCCATGACTTTTTCAGATTTTGTTAAAAATAAGCAGTGAAGTGGCTCACTGGTAAAGTTGGTTCAAAATAGAACTCCACCATCCATGAAAAATTTTGACAATGATCTTTTTAGATCATGTGCATCCTTCAAAGAGTCTAGCCATATTCCCTCAGCAAAGTACTCTATGTAGGGATGGCGCCAATCTTGAACACCATCAGTAGAGAAGCATTCTTCATTTTGATAATAAGCTTGTTGACAGGACACACATTGCTGTTGGAATTCAATAGTCTATCAAGCCATATCTGGCCAATAATACCCTGCTCGCTAGATCCAACGGTAGAGACTCACACGACTATCATGACCACATGTGAGATCATGAATTTCCATGAGTTTGTGATAAGCTTCCTTATTGCTGACGCACCTGGCCAAGATTCCGCGAGGGAGGCGATAGTATATCTCACAAGAAATAATAACATAACTAGATAGGTCCCTCAGAGGCACGCCAGAGTTTTGTTGTAGCAGGGCATTATAAATCTCATAAGTTAGTCAACATGGTCAGGTATCTCAAGCAAAACGGATTCACAGCTGTGATAGATAGGTCGCTCTCTTTGAACAATCTCGATGCTGAAAGGACTCTTGGCCATAGGCACTCTCAAAGCAATTGTGGTCAAGGCATCAGCCAATCGATTCTTCGTCCGTGGTATCTGCTCATATCTTATGCTGGCTCCAGGTGTTGGCTGAAAGAACGATATGGCGCAAGATGTTCTTCTCGGACAACGAAGGTACCTTAAACTTGACCAAGGATCAGACCTGAATCGCCAATGATTTTCAAGCATTGCACACTAGCCTTTTTAGCCATAATGAGCCCAATAAGATAAGCTTCGTACTCTATGGTGTTTCGTGCACTGAAATCAAGCTTCAATGAAAATACCATATCATGGCCTTTGTCATTTCTGAGAACAACACCAGCCCTAGCCCCTTCAATCGGGGAAGATCCATCGAAATATAATGTCCATTCTTCCTTGATTTCCTATGTAGTAGCAACCTCACCACTTGGGACTTCATTGGAAATAGGATACTGGATTTCACCAAAAAATTCAAACAACAAATCTGCAACAGCTTGCCCCTTTATGGCGGTGGGATTAATGCATGTGATACCATATTGGGACAATTGAAGGAGCCAATTAGCAAGACGTCCAGTAAGCATAGGCCGTGTTAAAAGGTACTGAATGGTCTGAGACTTAGTGATAGGTTGTATTTTATGAGTCAAGAAATAATGTTGAAGATGTTGAGATAGATAAATCAATGCAAGGTAGATTTTCTCGACAAAAGGGTACCTAGATTTGGTGCCCTTGAGGTTTCAACTGACATAATAAACTGGCTATTCCTTACTTTCTTGGTCATCTTGGGCAACCAATGCATTCACAGGTTTGTCAGAAGTGGACAAATAGACTTTAAGTGGTTTGCCTTAGATGGGGATTGATATGGTTGGCAATTTAAGCATGAGATCTTGTAGATGCAAGAAGGCATGTTGCTGCTCCATCATCCACACGAAAGTAGCTCCTTTCTTCAGCAAAGGGCTAGAGGCGGATAGTATTTTTGCCAACGAAAAGATGAATTTGCAAATATATGAGACTTTGCCAATGAAGCTTCGTAGCTGTTTGAGATTCTTAGGTGGCTGCATGGCTCAAATAGCTTCAGATTTGGCCGGATACACACTGATACCACGTTTAGTCATGAGGAATCCCAAAAATTTCCCAGTAGAAACACCAAATGCACACTTTGCTGGATTCATTTTCAGCTTGTATAGACGGCATCTGTCGAAGACTTTCCTTAACACAACAAAGTGGACTAGTCTTGTTTTAGACTTCACCACAATGTCATCAATGTAGACTTCAATATATATGTGGATAATTTTAGAAAGATTGCCACCATGACTCTTTGATAAGTAGCCCCAGCATTTTTAAGTCCAAAAGGCATAACAACATAGTAAAAATTAACAATACGGGTGCGAAAAGCAGTTTTCTCTACATCACTGGGGCACATACAGACTCGATTATTCCCGTTGTTGCCATCCATGACAGAGTACATCTCGCAACCAGCGGTGTTGTCCATCAACACGTCCATGTTCGGGACAGAGAATTCATCTTTGGGGCAAGCCTTATTAAGGTCATGAAAGTTCACGCAACACCTAATCTGCCCATTCTTCTTTCGAACTGGTACAATATTGGCCAGCCAAGTCAGCTTCTTTGTTGGTTTGATGAATCTTGTAGCCAAGAGCTTCTCGAGCTCTTCTTTAATTTTCAGAGTGACCTCTGGATGGAAGGCACAATTTGGCTGTACAACTAGCTTCATACTAGGATCAACATTCAAAGAGTGTGACACCAAGGTTAGATCAAGCCCCGGCATTTCATCATAATTCCAGGCGAAGACATCTTTACACTCTCGGAGCAACTTAACCAGTTTGGCTCTTTCATCCGCAAAAAGAGTGGTGCTAATATGTACATGCCTGGGATTTGCTGGATCATCTCTAAGATCAACAGCTTCAAAGGGCTCTATAGAAGTGAGCGCCGGTTGAGCTTCATGAAGGGTTGGCAGCTTGTTTGGTGGTATGAGATGATCAGCTTCGTTAGAAAAATCTAAGTGCTCATCAAGTATCTCATTCCCAACCTCAAGGGTGAAGCATTATGCTTTGTTGGAGATGCCTCATTCACCAATCGAAGTGTCTCCCTTTGAAGTGAAGAATATATGATCCAAAGACATGGCTACACTATTGACGATGGGGCCATCTCATGCATGGCTGAGAGGCTCCGCGCACCTTCACAAAGTATATTGGATCCTCCCATCTAGAAGGAGAGTTCTAGTGCACTTAGGACTCGCTTGGACAGCCTTTTCTGCCTCCTTCTTTTGTCTTTTATGCTCTAGGACGCTTCACAGGTCAAGATCAAGCTTATCTTTGATGTCATTCCATGCCGGCAAGACAATGCCAGATGGGCGAGATACAGTCGCTTTGCTAGAAGGGGCGAATTCATCATAAAAAGCAGCTTCAATGAAGTGGGTCTCAGTTTGATCAAATGGTAATGGGTTGGTGGGGATGCGAAAAACCTTTCCATTTAGGCAGCCTTTGACACATTAATGATAAGTAGAAGGGACAATTTTGCATCGATGCAGCCATGGTCTTCCCAACAATATGTGATAAGAAACTTCAACATCAATGACATAGAATGTAGTTTGAGATTGGACTAGACTGACTTTTAATTCATGTTGAATGTATCCAAGGGCATGCTCACTGCTGTTGCCGAAGCCAACAATGCTGAGTGGAGACTTGACGATTCTTCGTTTGGGGATCCCTGTAGCAATGATGGTGCTTAGCGGTACTAGGTTGAAAGAAGATCCAATATTGACCAGTGCACGTCTAACACCGACGGAGTTGATCTGAGTAGATAAGTAAAGAGGCTTTCTATGGTCAGGATATGGCGCCTCCATATCTTTGTCAATGAATGTAACAGCATTTGACGATTCAAGATAAGCACGGCTAGCATGTGCTTCAACGTTGAGCCCTTCTCCTCTAGCTTCGTTGGCGATGAAGAGTATGGCCTCTGTGGCTCTTTGTCGCGCCTCGGTAGTGAAGCCAAGTTGATCAAATAACATTTTGAACTTCAGAGTTCACTGGAGTGCACAGATAAAGAAGCCAGGCATATCGTTAGGGAATTCAACTATTGGCTCACTTGCTCCAATGCTTTCTACATGAATAAGAACACTGACGGCACCTTGGTTGTGGCATGGGAGAGGATCTTCGTCCACCCTCTATCTTCTATTCGGTACTTTTAGCAACCCCTCTATGATACATCCTTCTCAAGGAAAAACAATCCATAGTTGCATGGTGGACAAAGTGATGGTAGTGACAGTACTTGGGGTTGCGCTTGTCATCATCGTTGGGTTCGCGATGAGCCTGAGGTAATGTGATGGCACCATCAACGATCCACTGATTTAGGAGCACATCGAGTTCTTCAACTGTGAGAGGAATAGGCAGTGGCGGTGCCATGTCACGATCTTTTCTTTTTTGCCCTTGTCCTTGGCCCCGGACAGAGACAACCAAGGTGTGAACGGCGGTTTTCTTTTCTATAGACTTCATTGCAGATTTCCCAGTAGAGATGGCTTTGACAAAAATGGTTGTTCTTCTGGCGGCATCGTGTAGCCTTGCCAACTGGTTGATCTTGATGTTTTCAAGGATAGCATGATATTCCAGAAACATGTTGTTGATGCAGATTTCCACCAAGAAGGACTCAACATGGCCGCCATAGCAATCGAGTGCCAAATTCCTAAATCTTTTGACATAGACCATTATATCTTCGCCAGTGTATTGACGGGTGTTGTGAAGATCAAGGATGGTGATGCGCTTTTCACTTTGAAAATATTTTTGGTGAAATTGTTCTATCATCTCGTCCCAAGAACGGACAAAGCCAGGAGGTAGAGTGGTGCACCATGTATAAGCTCTATCAGGGAGAGGCTTTAAGAACTCACGCAGGCACAAATCTCCATCACCGGCGTGAGCCCCCATGGCATCAAGGAATTTGTTGACATGCTCCACAGGGTTGCCTTTCCTTCCATCATACTACAAGAAGGCAAGACTTTCGTATTTCTTCAGGTATGGTCTAGATAGAATCTCCTTTGGATAAGGTGGGTCACGGACGAATTGAAAAAGGGTTGCTCCGTGTTTAGAATGTTCCTTGTCTAAGAGAGTAGTAAGATCTGCCATGGTGACATAACCTTGGGTAAAATCGACTAAATTGGGTGGAGCTCCATTGGTATTGGTAGCAGCAATTACTGGTGGTGACGAAGTGTTCGGTCTCGTAGTAGAACTTCCATTACCATCCATAGCCCAAATATGGACTTCATGTGGCTGAGAAGTTCCAACTGAATTGATGGGTTGTGCTAAATCCTGCACAACATATTGGGTCTATACATTGGTAAGGAGCTGAGTGGTCCTTTGTTGGTCTTTGTGTAAGACCCGGATAACTTGAACTAGGGATGCAAGGCTGGGATCGGTGATTACTTGCAAGAGGTCATGGAAAACATCTGTTGATGGGCGCGGCTACTGAACCTCCCGTCCATCATCCTGGCTGGGCTCCTGATTTCCATCAACAATGTGGGATGAGGTTGCCTTTGTGATAGGCATGGCCAGAAAAATTTTGTTGAAGACAAATAAATAGCGTTAAGGCAACACTGGAGATATTATATCGCTGAAGAAGAGCAGAACAGGATGAAGCTCTAGGATGACTTCCCCAATGGAGTCGCCATTTTGTTCGAGGGTGTCAATGATGTAGGTGGATGAGTTAACAGTGGTGGTGACGTGAAAATTGACTAGGATGACACCCAAAAAAAATGAGGGGGGGTTCTTTTGGCGACACCCGTCTCATGTGTAGGACGCTACATGTTACAGGCCATTCTGTTCCATTGGGTGATAATATCTCGCAATGCACTTTCCAACAAAAGCTTTTAAAAGATGAACTTTTCAGCCAAGCCAGTAGAGTTAGGCAACAATGATGGGATTCCAAAGGTTCAAGGTGATCACACAACTACCAAAAACATGATGGAGATAGGTTGTGCATTGTTAAGGAAAGGCAGCTAAGATGTAAAATACATATGGCTCAAAGATTACAACTTGAGAATCACACTCATACATAAATCATTGTAACATGATAATAATGACAATAAACGTGACCTCTTTCATCCATAGTGTAGATTTTCTCTATAACAAACAATCCTCATATTGAAAATGAAGAATACAACAACTCTAATCTTGGAGTTTTTCCAAAGACAAAAGGATAAATTTGAGAGTGGTGATGGGAGAAGGAAGGATGATCGCTTGGGGGCTTACGAATGGAATGCTTGATCTCGTTTTGTTGCTAACCTCACAACATTCATCATATAATGCTCAAGAAGAACTATCCATAAGCTAAAACTGCAGCATGTTGTTCCTTAGCCATAATATCCTGCAAATCTAGAAATATTCTATAGTGCTGGGTGATATTCTGCAATGCTAGAAAATATATTGCAGTGCGGGAAAGTGTTCTGTAAAGCTTGAGAATGCTCTACGATGTTGAAAAAGACTTTCTAAAGCTAGAAAATATTTTGCAGAGTTGAAGAATACTCTGCAAGACCATAGACTTTGGAAACCCAAGATAAATGGTGGTTCACGAATGATTCCCACATGCAGAGCAGTGGGTTGAAGATGGGATCTATTTTTCTTTTAAAAATGAGAGTTTTGGTATGTGAGTTTGTTGTGGCATTGCATGCGTTTTTCTCTGTGTATGTTCTTGAAAATGAAGAGCAGATAATTTATATATGTGCAGTGGTATTGCTATAATTTCTAGTTGGTAGCTTAGAGGTGTGTAGAAAGGTTGGGGTGAGCTGTCGAATATTTGGTGGTTCCAAGTACTACTAGCAACTCTGTGATGGTGGCATTATGAATTGCCCAACGGTCCCAATGAAGTTTTGTTAGTTTTGGTGAAGAAACTGAAAATTGTATATTTTTGGCAATGTCTTGAGCCACACAAAATCCCATCTTTGGGGAGGTGCTTGAGTGCAGCTGGCAAAAACAACATTTGCACAGGATTTGGTGAGTTCCCTAGGTTTTGCGCAAGATTTTGGAGGATTCTGTCAGTAGATAACAATCTTTTACAGCAGTTTCTAAGGCCATGAAACTTGTGTAACCACCTTTGCATTAAGTATAGTTGCAAGGGGCTGATGGTGACCAAGACAGCACCTCTAGTTAGCTTATGGCGGGATTTCCAGTCTTCAGTTAGCATCTAATTGCACTGTTTCGAAAGTCAAGTTCATTTCCATGCTTTTGCCACCTAGCCTTTTTCTGGCGAAGTCCGGTAGCATCGCCAACGCCAAGCTTCGTTGGTGCGGATGCCTTGCTTTGCTAGACAGGCAGCATTCATCCATCCATGCCTGCCAAACCACTATTCCCATAATTTATCCCAAATAATCCCCATGAGCTTGGATTCAAGGGCTTGTGTTTATCTGCAGTAACAACAAGGCATATGTGAATATATGTTCAAATATTTAAGAATAAGAAACACACAAGCATATGCAGCGAAGAAGGAAACTCCCTCATGTGTTGAAGGGGGCTATGTGAATGAATATTCGTTGCTCTCGTTTGCCTACTGGCCAGGGCCAACATCGATACACTATTGTTGTGCATGGCTAGCATTGCACTAAAATGAGAAATAAGTGGTATGGGTGTACATTGCGATATCGTTGTCCTGAGCCAAGCTTCGCCGGTTGATGATACTTGCTAACACGTAAGATATAGAAAATATGTGTTATCAGTCAGGATTACCGGCGATCGGTAATTTTGTCCCTTTGTATAGAAGAGTGACTATGTGCATGACCTCCAGCCATGTTATGTATGTATTGCGGGGTCTGCCATGCATAGCTTCCCTATAGCCAGAGGGACAACAGTGGCTAGCTTTGCCCATAACTGGAGCGTGAACTATGTAGAATCGAAAAAGCACTCCCACTAATTCGCCAAGCTACAAAGGGGTAAATCTCATTAAACCAAACTCTGCCATAGCAATGAATATATATAGAGAAAGGTGGAGTTGTCTCCATGGAAGAGGGATGCCAGCCGCATCCATGGCCTCTGATATGACAATGTGTGATACCACTGACAAATGTTGGCCCTTCTTGCCATACCCGCACAATCAAAGGGTGGTCTTGGTTGTTGTTGCCCGCCAAGCACCGCACCACCACGCACAGGTGACCACCAAGGGACTGCCGGCCACTTCTTGATGGTTTTTTATCGCTGTAGGGTAGCTATCCCATCTGATCGCAAGATTGCAACTGTTATCGGCCTCACGCTAATCATACCTAGTTGCACTAACTCTTTGTCCATTTACAGGAGCTAGTGAGATAGAGTATGTAGGAATCTAACCTTTTGTTCGTTGTTAGGAGCCAGTGAAACGAAGATATATAAAGATGTGTAGCCTTTTGTCCATTGCTAGAGGCTAAATAAGATAGTAAATCTGACCCTTTGTTCATCACTGAGAGCTGTGTAGATAAAATCAACTCGTTGTCCGTTGATAGGAGCCATGGAACAAAATAGGCTTTTTATCCATCGTTGGGAACCAAAATATGTAGCAGTAAACATGGCTGCAAAGTACATGATCGTCGAAAACACCAAGCCATGTTGCATAGATAATGTGGCCATGTCTAGCTATGTGTAAAGGAATGCTGCTGAAGTAGAACATGTTTGTATCATTCCTTGCGAAGTAGGTAAATGCCACTCCTAGCGATATATAAGAGAATAATGTTGGGCGCTGCTTCTGGCGATGTCGACTCCTTTGCAGCAATTAATAGAAAATAGGAACTGCATGTCCAATGTGGGGAGTAAGTGTTGTGGGCCTTTGTTGATGTGGATCCACACACGTCATTGGTGATGTAACCATATAAACTCATCCCTCAACAACATCCTTACTATTTCTACCCATTGAACTCTTATTAACATATTAATATATTTAACCATACCTAGAGTATGTTTAAAAAATCACCAAAAGTTACATGCAACAACAATTATTTCTAGGCAAAACAGTAGCAATTCTGGGCAAAATAGTAGAATTTTCTAGGTAAAAACAACAACAATTTATGAGCAAAACAATAGAATTTTCTGGGCATAACAGTAGTAAAACAACAGCAAAATAGTAGAATTTTCTAGGTAAAAACAACAGCAATTTATGAGCAAAACAGTAGAATTTTCTAGGCCTAACAACAATAAAATAATAGCAAAATAGCAAAATTTTTTGGGTAAAAACAATAGCAATTTATGAGCAAAACAATAGAATTTTCTGGGCAATATCAATAGCCAAAAAGCACCCAAAATTCTGGGCAAACAGAGCAAAAAACAACAATTAATTAAATAAAATTTTGGGTTGAGCTAAGCTCTTTAGGAGCATGATTTTTCTCAAAATCACAAGAACCAAAACTGATTTTTTTTTTTTTTTTTTGTACCTTAAAAACAAGGCAACAGTGTAGTCTTTTAAACAAAAGAAACTTATAATTATTCAAGAGGAAAACAAGCAAGGACTGAAGCAAACATCACAAAATTAGCAAAGCAGAAACCTTGTACCTAATGCAGAATTTAAAACCAAAATGAAGCAGAAGCTGTTAACAACAGAACTTGCATAGAAACAAGGCATGGAAGCATTAAGAATAGTGCAGAAAATTTAGCACCATACCAGCAAACTAGGGTAAAATGGCTACAAAAATTGGAACCCTCAAGCAGATTTTAAGAAGGAATTTCGAACAACATACTACCCATGTCTAATCAACAAAACTAAGGATGAAATCAAAGCTTGAAGGATGAATTATGGTTGTTTTTCTTACTGGAAGATGCTAAGAATGGCAACCTCCTATGCCACTCTAGTTACCCGACATGAACCAAGAATGAGGGAGAAGGCAATAGTAGCAAGATCTAGATTGATCATGGTTTTAGATTCACAAGCCTACAAATCCGTAAATCAAACTTGGGAGGAAGAAGAATAACTAAATCTCACCTAATTTTTCGATGAGGAGGCATGTCACGCTTCAGAACCCAAATCCAGGGATGTGGCAGACGTCGTACACTTGTGAGAGGTTCCCGCAAATGCACAAGGCTCAGAACTTATCATACCACAATCTGATACCACAAAATCTGAAGATAAAATTTTAAAATTTGCCTTGATATCATAAAATCTCCCAATAAAGTCTAGCTTACAAGATCATGATTTATATCTAAAATCTATGTTCAATTTACAAGATGGCTAGCCTTCTAACTCGTCACTCCCCTTGTTTTTGCCCGTCCTTGACTTCACTTCCTGAAATGGTGGACAAGGAAAAACTATGAGATAACTCAGTAAGTAAATATGGATAGCCCTTAATTAAACCTATAACATGCCAACAAGTATAATCACGAAAAAAGGATACAGTACGGGAATGAAATAGACATCTCCTCTATAGGTCATGGCTAGTGTTATAAACCTCCCACTGACAGGCACACGATTTACTAGTGTATAATCCCATTAGCAAGATAACAGCATAACAGAAACGAACCGGTTCTATCAGTAACATGTCGACATGTGCTAGCGTTTATAAACCACCGACTAGCGGGCACACGAATAACATGACCATATCGAAGACAAAACAGGCAGAAGTTAACAGAAAATCATACTTTACAGATAATTTTCAGATCATCAAGGCAGTTAAATAAACTCCAAGCTGGCATGCT